TTTTTTTGTTTGTTTAATAACTAGTTAGACTATATTTGTGGGATCATTATGCCACCAAATTGAGCATATTTTCTTTCTATTGAATTGTTGCGTTTTGCAGACTACAAACAACTATGAGCAGCTAAGGACAGAAGTAACCAAAGCATTTTTAGTAGCTCGAAGTAAAAAATTGATCGGCTCTAGTTTGTATAGTATAGAAACACTGAAACCAAGTAATGCTTCAATTTGCCAAGCAACCTACAACGATATTAAATTACTTGGGCTGCAAATCAGTATACTATCCTATTCACAACCAAAATTCGATACCATCCTATTCACAACCAAAATACACGACTTAAGAACAGTTCGAACCACATGAAAAATCAGTCACCATGTTTAGTAGCTTACAATAACTACTTGGGCTGCAAATCAGTCACCGTGTTTAGTAACATTAAAATTCATAACTAAAAGTCGACATCGTCCTATTCACAACCAAAATACGTGACTTAAAAATAGTTCGAGCCACATGAAAAATCAGCCACATCATCCCTAAACACCTTCAGTTCTTGTTGCACCTTGTGATGAAGTTTGTGACTTGATGTTCTTCTGTCTAAGCAAAGCACTTTTATGTTGAAGTTGTCTTCCTGTGATAGCACTTTTCCCCTTCCATTTAAGACCTTTACTTGGTGCATACCCAAGGTCACCGGTGACAATAGCTGAACTTATCAGTTTCTCTTGTGCTCCACTCTTGATTACCCTACTAATAGATTTTCCTTGTTGTAAAGTAATAAAGAGTCGTTAAATTATTTTTAAGAAGTTTAATCAAGAATATAAGCTTATTAACTCTTGTTTTTACCTCGGCACAAATAAAACCATCTTTGCTCACAAATACTCCATGACCCACTACTCTTGGCCTCTTAAATGCATTATTTGCACCTTTTCTATTACCACTGTCACTTTGCACTATTGCTTGAGATGGTTCAGAAGATTGAGATTGTTGCACTGCTTGAGTGGGGTGAGATTTCTGCTTGCCACTTTTTTTACTACTGGCAGATGCTTGTGATATAGCAATACCCTATGCAAAGAATAATTTTGAAAGTGTTAAAGGTATTAATATACTATAAATAAACATTAATAGAAATCAAATGTACCTCTGAAGTGGCTGGAGGTTTGTTTGGACATGTTCTTATATTGTGACCTTTTGACTTACAAGCGGAGCAACTCATGATTTTTCCCCTCTTTGGAAGCTTTCCAGAACTTGGTACCTCTCCAAGTACCTTCTTTCTTTTTTTACCAGGCCTTCCTGGCATTTTCCTAACAGGAGGTGGCTCAACTTTTGGATTCAATGTCTCGGGCCACATCTTCATGTTTGTTACTGGTTGTAAAAAATGTTTATAAGCTTTCAGGTAGGTTTCTTTTTTGTACCACTTACAAACCGAGTCAAGGAATTAGCTTCATTGTGATGTATAGCTGCTATTGCATGTGCATAAGGAATCCCTTTCAATCCCCAACTTCTACAAGTGCAAGTTCCTTGAATTAGGTTAACCACATGTATATATGGACTATCCTTCACTTCATACCCAATATCACCATTCCAACTAATTTCCACCCTCATTGACTTCTTCACATTTGTATTTAGCACCAACACTGCCATTGGAGAAATGTCATGAGTCCAACTATTTACAAATGTTATCACTTCAGTGAATCTATTCATTACCTTTTTCCTTATTTCTTCAAGCATACTGATGATAGTCTTGTGCCTAGCACCCAACACCCAAGCATTAAAACTTTCAGCCAAATTGTTATCCACACTGTCACATTTTGAGGATGTCCTAAACTGTGCTTTGGACCATCTATTAGGATTGAAGTTTACCAAGTCATTAGAAATATCTTTGCCTAATTGTGCTAA